ATTTTTCCACTTCTGTCCCATGGTGAGTGAGACCAGCACCTCCAACAAGAAAATGCAGAAAAGAGTCTGAGAAATGTTCCTGAGAATGGCAGGGCTGCCCCCTTATTCCCAGTAACCCTCCTAGGAAAACCAGGGCTTCATGGATGTTGTCACAATGAGAGAAAGCCTGCACCCAGGGCATCCCCGAGACCCCACAGGCACAGCAGGTAGACGAGAGACGGGCTCCTGCCCAGGCACGGCAGCCAGGAGTGACCTTCTTGCAAAGTCTCAGGAGGCTCAAAAGCTCTGCCCAGACAGGTGGGAAGCTGAATCCTTGTGCAGGAGAGCACAGGTTTCCTGCACACAGAAATGCCCTGACTTATTCAACAATAGGCCCTTGGAGCTCTCTTAGCAATTACCACCTCCCCATCAGCTCCATGCCTGGCTGGCCACTAATATTTATTGTAAATAAGACTTATCGCTCCAATAAGATAGTCAGTTTCTCTACCTCCAAATCCCAGAGCTTAACACAGCTGGGCACCCAGCTGGTCCTCGTTAAAACCCTTCCGAGCCTGAGTCTTCCCCCTTACCTGCCCCTACTTCCACCCCTGCGTTCATGGAGCCAGCCCAAGCCACGTGCTGCTCTTCCCTGTCCTGAAAGCTGGTCTGTGAGAAATGTGAGAGCTGAGTCTACAGATCTGACAGGTAGCCTGGCAAAAGATACCAGGAGCTTCTGCAGGTGAGCAGGCTATCACTATTAGCAAGTTCTCTAATTTGGGTACTCTTTATAGTTCCCCTGTGGAAGGTACTCATTTGTAAGATTTAAGTCAAACCATGAATCTCAGGAAGAACTGGAAGTCTCTAAGAATATTGCCTGGGAAGGGTCTCTGGCAGAAGGAGCTTAACTCCCACGGTTTTGGTTACTTCACCTATAAAAAGTAGGGATGTCAAGGCGTTACTGTAGGCAGGTGAGTAGACCAGGTGATCTGATCAAGTACCTCCCAGTTCTACACTCCTGTGCAGTATTGGACCATCTCATTCATCCATGTGCAAGACAGTGACATGGATTTGGACTGAAAAGACCCACAGTTCCCATCCTGGCTCTGGTGCCTATTAACTGGTTGGTCTTGGGGGAGTCACTTAATCTCTCCAAACTAATTTTCTTGTCTATAAAATGGAGACAATAATAATATCTTCACCACATAGATGTCAAATCTCACACATGAACAAGTTTTATAAACTATAGTCTTAACTCAGATGTTATTAATTAACAGGTTGTGACTGCTATGATTAAAAAACAAAAGACACTTCCCTTTATATAAGCAAAATCTCATGGTTGGCCTCAGAAACGAACAAGATCATAGCTGATCGATTTGCTGTTAACTCCACCCTGTCCAAGGAGACCTGCTGCCCCATCACTGAGGTGGGAACCTGTGGGAGCTGGGTAGCAAATGCTGATTTCAGGGTGGAGGCTGGAGGTCTGGGCTCCAGGGACATGGGGTGAGGGTGTTTTCCACCCAACAGAACCTCTCCCATGTTGCTTCTGCGACTTGACAGCAGACTCCCAACCACCTTTTCCCATGTGACAAACCGACAGTAAACTGAGGTCCTTATTTTTTTATTCACTTCACTAAAGGGATCAGAGCCTCCAGGAATGAATACTCATTGGTACAATCCCCCCCACAAAATATGCTGATAAACTCACAAAGTTCTGTTATTGCTAATGCTAATTGCATTTCCTTGGGTAAGCACAATAAAAAATTCATTGCAGTTTTTAGAAACAAGACGCCAATTGCATTTTAATAGCTAGAGGAGAGAATAGGAGAGAGGCTTTAACCAGGAAAATGCTAACTGGGCATAAACTCAGGAAGAGATCTCTTCAAGCCACAATGCCCAGTTCTGAAATAGGAGGTAAAGAGAGAGCGGCCTTGCTGGGAAGCCAAATCTTCCCTAAGAGAGCACTGATTTCAGTGGTTCTCAGACTCGGAGCCTCAGAGCACCTAGACGGTAGGAGCTTTTCATTGCAGATCATGACACATAGATTTAAAAAAATTTAAAGCATTAAATAAATAAGCACATACCAAAATTTTAGAGTAGATGATCGAGAATCATCCCAAAAGCTTCAAAAAACATGTATGGGAGGAAAATTGTAATTCCATTCCATAACGTGTATGTGTGTGTGTGTGTGTGTGTGTGTGTGTGTGTGAGAGAGAGAGAGAGAGAGAGAGAGAGAGAGAGAGAGAGAACTACCAAGACCACGCGTCACTTTATTTATTTATTTATTTATTGAATCAAAATTGATTATACCTATTTTGGGGGTTCAACATTGAGATATGTTGATCAAATCAATATTACTAGCATATATATGGTTACAAATCGTAATTCCTTACGCCCCTTGTCTAATCTCTCCCCATCCCCCATTCCCTTCCCCCTCCCCCCTCTAATTACCCTAGATTTCTTCTCTCCTTCTGAAAGAATAATGGTTACTCTGTTAATTTGTTGCCTACGGGCCGGCCCGGTGGTGCACTCGGTAGAGTGCGGCGCTTGGGAGCGCGGCGGCGCTCCTGCCAAGGGTTCAGATCCCATATAGAGACTGGTCCGCTCACTGGTTGAGCGCGGTGCGGGCACAACACTGAGGGTTGCGATCCCGTTGCCGGTCATGAAAAAAGACAAAAAGGAAAAAAAAAAATTGTTGCCTAGATGATCTGTCCAGTGCTGAGGCGTGTGTTCAGGTCCCCCAATATTATCATAAAGCAACTGTTTCTTCTGTCAGTCTGGAATGGGTTTTGTGGAAAGAGACATCCTCTTCTTTTCTTTGGTCTTTGCTGATGACTCTCCTTGTGTCAGTGCACTCCAGTGGTTGGTGGATCATCTGCATGGTGGTTGTGGCATGCAGCCACTTTTGTGGCAGCCATGCTTATTGTGGTGGCTGTGATGGGCCACCCACATGGAGGTGCTGTTTTTGGTATGCTCCTTGGCACTGGCAGTGTGCCTGGTTGTGGGGTATGTCTGGTCCCCTTCTCCATGCCTCTGGACCCATGTATCACTTTAACAACAGAGCTCCTTGGACCAGTTCACAGAACTGTTGCTTTAAAGCCAAAACCCTCTTCTGATGCCAACCTCCTTGTTTTAGGTGAGAACAGAAAGTGAGTGAGAACAGGAAGTGGGTGAGAACAGGAAGTGAGTGAGACTGCTGGGAATGGGGGTGGGGGAGGGGATACTGACTCCCATGGGCTTAATCTGGGCTGGCTCAGCCTTGCCCCCACCTGCCCAGGAGCCTCTGAGCCAGGAGATCCTCTAGGGAGGCACTTCACCCACCTGGGGACACAGGGAGAAGACAGGACTAGGGGCACCTGTGACATCCCCCTAAAGGATGCACACAGGAGCTGATGAAGAGGGAGGGCAGAAAGGCAGGCTCCAGCTGCTTCCAGCAGCCTCTTTCTCTCCAGCTCCTGCCTCTCTGCTCCTTCTCATCCCTTGGCTCCCCCACCATTCCCAGCCCAGCCCCAGCCTCTCTCCTGCCATTGAGTCTCTCTGGTGAGAAAGGGGGACTCTGAAATCAGGGCCTGAGGGGAGAGGCCCATGGGTAGTGACTGTCTCTCTGGTGCAGTGGTAGGAGATCCACGCCTTCTTCATTGAAGGCTGCTGCTTCTCCTCCAGCTAGTGGGCCTGCTGGAGACCACAGGAACATGAGGCTGGTGTGCAATGAGACTGGAGGAAACAGGATTTAGAGGATGGAGTCCTGGACCGAAAAAGAAAGGAGCTGGAGTCACAGCATGTCTCCACCACATACCAGTCAAATAACTTTTATCTTAGCAAATCACTTAACTGTTCAGAACCTCGATCTCCACTTCTGTCAGATGTGGCCAAAAGTATCTGCTTCTCTAGTTTTTTTTATAAGATCTGAATGAGAAGATGAATGCATATGTCACCTGAAAACTCTAAAATTTGTTACCTACCACATGCCCTTGTGCCCAGCCTGGTAGAAAGACTGCTGTTCATTATCACGCCATGCATTTGTAAAGTACTTTATACAGCTAACATGTTTTTATACACGTTCTCTCACTTGGCCCTCTCACTGAACAGAAGTAGAGTGGTTTGGCCAGTGTCACACAAGCATGTAATTAGATGCAGAACCCAAACTCTCCATAGTGCCGGGAATGCAGCCACGAGTAACTGCTTTAGAGACCAGGGATGAATGGTGGTGATAGGCAAATATGTAAATAACACCATGGATCATTTGCTCCAAGCCCAGCACTGTGCTAGGCATCATGTAGGTCTTATTTAATTATCACAGTAGTATGCAAGGTATCCTCAGTGGTTATTACCAGAAAAATGAGGGTTCCCAAAGTTAGGAACTTGCCAAAGATCACTGATAAGTGTTGTTTCCCCCAAGTTTTATGTATTAGCAGCTTGATTCCCACCGTGACTGTTAAGAAGGTGAGAAATCCCATTATGGTATTTGAAAAGTGGGTCCTTGAAGAGGTGATTAGATTGTAGGACGATGCAGTAGTGAATGGATTAGTAATGGTGGTCAGGGGTGTGGTTCTGAGGGCTTTAAAAGGAGAGTGAGTGAGGAACTGTCTCTGCTCTCTCTGCTCTGCCATTTCACAAGGTGATACCCTGCCGTCACTGTCACCACCACCAAGGCCTTCACCAAATGTGTTCCCTAGACTTTGGATTTCCCAGCCTCTGAAACTGTAAGCAATAAATTTCATTTTTTTACAAAATACCCAGTTCCAGGTTATAAGCAACAGAAACAGACCAATACAGTCACGTAGGAAGTGGCAGATCTGGGCTGCAAATTCACGTCTACTTTTAAGCCTGTTAATGCTTAAACTGACAGAAATCCAATGGTTTCAACATTATAAGCATCACTTCTTTCTTCTCCCACGCTGGGGAACATTCCTTCATCTCCTCTGCAGCCCCCAACAGGGCACAGGCCTAAGGGGAGAGGTTCACAATGCAGAGGGGCAGGTCCTTTAGAAACCTCCCTGTGCTACCCCTGCCCCTACACTCACCTGTACAGTGTCGTGGATCCAGTCCAGGAACTCAGCCACCTTGGCATAGACGCCTGGGTGATTGGGCTCTGCGCAGCCACGACCCCAACTGACCACCCCCACCAGGCACCATGTGCCCCCACCTGGGCACCCCAAGGGGCTCTCGCTATGCCCCTGAGGGATCCGGACATGGAGACACAGAAACAGCCAGTTAGTCCTTCCTGGTGGAGGAGCACCAGTCCTCCATAGGGAGTGGCCTCTCCTTCCCAGGCCCCTACTGCTTCCTGCTGGCCTCATCCTCTATAAACCCTCAGCACGAGCTCCAGACTTGCCTAGGTGCCCCTCCTCCTAGAAAGACTGTCTCATGCCACCAATGTGCTTGGACCAGGAGGCCAAGACACTGCAGGCTCCCAACCCCTACCTCCCCCACGGGCCACACCTGGTATGCATCAGGCCTTCCGTCCAGGTAGCCAGCACACAACATGAGGTGGGTGAGAGCCCCGCTGTACATGCAAGAGCTGTTGCAAAGCTGAGTGCTGAGCAGGGGCACCACTGTGTCCTGGGGCATGTCTGAGCTGTGGGCTGCAAGAGACACCAAGAAAGGCTGCAGAGTGCAAAGCAAGGCCCGGGAAGGCAGAGCAGCAAAAGAGAGGTAGTTAGAGGTCCCAGAGACTCGGAGACCTGAAGAGGGGAGCCCAGTGTGGGAGCTGCAGAGCCTGCGCAAGGAGGCAAAGGGCTGTCAGTATCGGGAGCTGGGAGTGGGCAGGAGAGGAGTAGGACTCACACATATACCAAATGCTGAGGCCATGGCACTCAAGGGGACAAGGGGAAGGGGAGCAAAATGGTCTGGGTTTAGGGAAGACTTTCAGTGTTTATTCTCTCCAGAAAGACCCAGAAGGGGAGACTGGAGCCCCCAGGCCTGGCCAATGGTGATGCCAGTGAAAAGGGGGCTGGCAGTGCCACGTGGCCAGAGGAGGTGGAGGTGCTTCATGCTGGAGAAGGATGCCGCCCACCACCACCACCATGCTGCTTTGGAACCATGGGCCCTGGGAGCTGACTTACTGTGGCTGGGGTCGGTGTGGCCGCAGCCAGACACCCAGCACTGCAAGCCCCTCAGAAAGTATTGCTCCTTGGCAGGCACACATCACCCATGGTGTCTGTGGAGAGGCACATGGTCGTGGTCCCCACTCAGGCTCAGCTTCTCTCCCGCAGAGCTGAGATCTCATCTCCCTTCTCAAACAGTCCTGGTTCCTGGACTCCACCAACCATGTCTCCTAGATGGCTGTGAAGGTTGTGCACTGTCCCACCTCGAGGATCACCCTTCACAGAGGACAGTATGCAAAGTGCAGCATGCATGGCACTCTCTAGGGGTGGGGCAGTGCACTTGCTGCCTGCCTCCACCTGGGGGCTGTGGGAGAATGAAAATTCCTTCTGGCCGAGAGTACCCAGCTTCTCCTAATGAAGACTCATTTTGACTTTTCGCCAGGGTGTCTGATCCCTTTTGGGGCAGTGTTTGTAAATGTATGTGACACATCACATGGGTGGAGCCAAACATGAGTTTTGTTATTACACAGACATGTCATTAAATAAACAAGTGGGGAGAAAGCTATTTCCATTTCAATTTTCTTTCAGTCTCTCTAATGCATCAAGGAGAAAGACTCCATTTGGTGCTAGTCTGTATTGCTCTTAATTCTATCACCCTCCCATGTAAACAGCAGAGAGCAGGCCAGGCTCAGCAACTTCTGCGGAGGACTCCAGCTACCTAGAACTTAATCACTGATTTGTTCTCGCTCGCTGTATTTTTGCGGCTACTATCTATTTACTATAAGCAATATAGGTTCTCCAGTTAGGTAGTTTTCCCTTTTAAATATACTTAGGTTAATTTAGAAATATTAACTGTTGATTAATGGTTTGCATATGTGGAATGTGTATGGCAACCACTGTTATTTGGGAAATTCAGTGCTACAGGTGACAACAGGAGGGAGGAGCATAGGTGAGTACCGGTGTGCACAAGTGTATCTGTGTGTGCCTGGGTGTGTGTGTGTTCATGAGAGTGACTGTGTGAATGCCCAAGTGTGACTCTGTGCATGTGACCACGTGAGTGCGTGTGTGTGTTTCTGTGAGTGTTTGTAGGTGAGTGCCCGTGTGCATGTGTGTGTTGGCGAGGGCCGTTGCTAGGATGGCGGCAGCCTGGGCGCACCTTCTAGAGCAGGTGCTATGGCAGGAGGAGCCCTAGCCCTGGAGTCAGGACATCAGGCTCAGGAACTGTTTGCCCCGTGACCTTGAAAAGAGTCACTTCCCTCCCTAAACTTTAATGTCTTTGTCTGTATATACCTGCTTCATCTACCCATCAGGGTTGTTATGAGGATTGAAAGAAAGGCTATTTCAAAAAATAAAAGTCATCTCATTAACTGTAACATGTCAAAAAATGTCTGGGACCTGGGACCAGCTTGGGGACAGTGGTGGAGCTGCTCTTCTTGGGACCTCAAGGCAAATCCCGCCTGCAGTTCAACTGTGAAAAGGGCCTGACCCTTTGTCCCAGAAGGAGCCTGGATAAGAGTTGGTGCAACTTCAAGTCCAGGGAATGTCAAAATTCACTATGGTCCCCAAATGAACTGAATATTTTAAGGTTTACAGCACCGGGAGAGAACCTTAGCACTCTGCTCGCCTCTCTTCCCTCCCAGTCCCCGCTCCTCTCTCCCCAGCCTGCTCGCCCCAGGGCCAGCTCCTCACCTGAGAAGTTGAGTGGAGTTTGGAGCCGCAGGAGGGCGACGTCGTCGTAGTCATGGCTCTGGGCGCTGTAGAAGGGGTGGGGGATAATCCTGTCCACCACAGCCCCCTGGTGTGGCCTGACAGCGCTGTGGCTGACCAGCCCCGCGTGAACCCGCCAGCTGGACAGGCAGGCCAGCCTGAAACTGCACACAGGGGCTATGCTGAGCTGGGGGAGGAAAGGGCAGAAGAGGCTGACACAGAGAGGTGGCCAATGGAGGAAGTTGGCCAGAGATGCCATTAGTGGGGATCTGGCCACTAGACTGCAAATTCCCAGGACCTAAGGACCATGCCTTTTAGTGTCACCCCAGCAGCTGGCAAGACACTGGGCATGCAGTAGGTGCTTAATAAATGCTCAAGGACTGGTGAATAGAGAAGTGAAACACTGGGTCATCTGCAACCACTACTCCCCCTCTGTGCTGCATGACTCCCTCCAAGAGTTAAAATAAACATCAACGGGCCTTGTGTGATATCAAAACTCTACACTGAGTTGGGAAAACTTCCCTCAGTCCTGTCTCTCTGCCTACTATATGTGACCATGGGGAGGCTCTTTCCTCTCCCAGCCTTGGTTTGCTCATTGTAAAATGAGGCTTACACTCTGCCCTGCTGGCCATCAAGAGAAGATCAAAGAGCTCATTCACTCATTCCTTCCTTCATTCCTCCAACTAATATTTACTCAGCACTTACTGTATTCCAGGGACTGCTGTAGGCCCTAGGGACACAGCAGGGGAGAAATCTACAAAGGGATTCCCTGGTAAACAGGATTGAGAGTCCTTGCTCCCATGGAGCTTCCAGTCTAAAGGGGAAGAAAGACATTAAACAAATATTTACATGGAAAATGATTTAATTACAGTGGTGATGAATGTTAAGAAGCACAGAGCACTGTGAATGTGAAAGTATTTTAAAAACTTAAATGCTGAACAAATATTAAGAACAAATCTTTGTATTATTTCTGCAAATCATGCAGATCTGTTCTTGACACCGAGTGGAGAGAACTCCACAAACACGTCCCTTGCAGATTCCTGGAGGCAGACAGTTGGACATGGACATTCTATACAGGACGTACCAACAGCTGGACAGAAAAGGCCACTGCAGCCCCCTCCTCCCCAGCAGCCCCGCAGACTTGCCTGTGCATGCAGTGTGCAGCAGTCACCACCCAGCGTGGCACCAACAGAGAGCCCCCGCATGTGTGTTGGGAGCCCAGTGTCACACTGGCCTGCCAGGGCCAGCGCCCAGGAGCCACTGCCTGCCCGCCGACTATCCGGGAAGCCAGGGGTCTTGTCCCACACTCTGCCAACAGAGAAGGTTGAGACACAGAGAGCGTGAGTGGTGGGGGTCAGCACGGTCACTCTCAGGGAGCGCAGTCCAGTGCCCAGCCCCAGAGAGCCAGTGTGGACAGCTCTCGTTCATCATTCCTGACCCTAATGGGGGGATAGGAAGGCAGAAGTGTTGATTACACTCCTGCCTGCCCCATCAGGCTGCTGAGAGCGGGGACTACGCCTGCAGCATCGGTGGAGCCCCAAGGCCTAACAGAATGATGGTGTGTGGATGGACGTGTGGGAGGACAGATGAGCAGGTAGATAGATGAATGGAAAGACAGATGAAAGGAACTCCACAGACTGGTTCCCGTTCGGCCCCTAATACCCCACCTGCCCTTAATCTCCTGAAGCTGCTGACATGTTACTGAATCGCCAACAATAACTTCACCCTTGGAGCTCTCCAGAAGAAAGGGAAGTGAGTGCCAGAGGCCAAGGCAGAGAGCGGCAGGTGGTGAAGCAAGATCATCAGCCCAGTCCAGTGGCTGGTGGGGGATACAAAAGAGGCTTAGAAAGGGCTCTCTTTGGGCAGAACTGTTTCTGTAAGAAAGGGTCCAGCAGGCAGATGGGCAGGTGGGCAAGGACCCCCACCCCAGACGCAGCTGAGCCTCTCCATAGGGCAGGGAGAGACTCCTTTCTCCCCCTAGCCACCTTCCCCGGTCCAAGACATGACTCACCAGTGCATCTGAGGGAAACAATTCAGCCAGAAGTGCAGTCATCCCTGCAAAACAGAGGTGCCAACAGGAAGCTGGGCAGGGACCACCCTGAAGCCACACACACCAAGGGCTTGGAGGATGGGGTGGTTGAGGGGGTTTGCTGGACAGTCCTTAAGGCTGTTGTATCGCCACAGCATTAAGGATACCACCATTTTCTTCCTGCCCCCACCAAAATGCCCAGCCCCTTCCTCATAACCGGTTCCCAACAGCAGCACGCATTCTGCCCAGGCTCCCAGAGGGCGACAAGAGGATTTCATGGACCTTGAGAGCCAATTTGGGCAGGGCCCAAATTTACAAATATTTATAAAAGAAAACACCCAGCTGCTCCATCGAGTGGCTCTGAATAACTGTGTGTTCAGTGGATGAAAGAATGGACAAGTGGGTGAGTGAACGAATGGGCCGTCACCCATGCCCCTTCCTGGGCTCCCTGGCCCAAGCCCTCTGTGTGGCCCTATGGGTTCACATTCTTGCTCTCCTCTTCGCCCTCCACTCTCCTAGCATAAGCTTCCATTCCTTTTTGACCGAAATCCTCTTTTCTTTCTTGACTCACCTCTTGCCCCCAGCAGCCTAATCCCTGGGACCTCTTAGTTTCCCCCAGTTTCCCAAACCCACAGCCCTGCTGGCTGCCCTGGAGGAGTCAGTCCCACCCTCACTTCCATTCAGAGTCTCCCCCTTTCTCCAGACGTGTTCATGAGGATGGACTCTCAGGACAGAAGCTGGACAGGAGGGGCCTGAGGGAACAGTTCCAATTGGAAAAATGGGCGAGGGTGAGAAGCGTTCTGCGTGGTGATGGGGATGCTCACCCATCTATCCCAGAAGGCTGTTCGGCAGCAGGAGGAAGCCCAGGAAGAAGCAAAAACCATCTCAGCCTGTGCCCCAGCCACTCCAGAAGCACAGCCGGGATTTGGGGAAGGACCTGACCCATTCCAGAGCCCTCTTCTCTGGCAGACTCTCCAGGCTCCAAGCAGCTCTTAGCCAGAGCAACTCAGCCATCTCTCCTGAAATATCAGAATTATTCAGATAAAGTGTGGAAGTGTTGAAAGATCACCTAGTTAAGGGACAGGAGCTGGGTATCAAGACTTGGCTTGGCATCTTCTTAGGTATGTGACCTTGGACAAGACCCTTGAACCTCATTAAGCCTCAGTTTCCTAACCTGTAAAATGGGGAAAAAGTACCATTTCAAATCCTGTGACAATAACAATCAACCCTGCATTTCTTGTGACGGGAAAATAATGTACAAGGGGTCTTCAGAATGTTCACATTTGATCAAAACGTCCACATTTTTTTCATTCTATTCTTCCATGAACTTTTTTTTTTTTTTTTTTCCTTTTTTTTGTCTTTTTCTGTGTCCGGCAACGGATCGCAACCCTCAGTGTCGCCCCCGCACCGGGCCGGGACCAGCAACGGGACCGCAACCCTCGGTGTCGCTCCCGCGCCCCGCCCAGCCAGCGAGCGGGAACCGGTCCGCACGTGGGATCCGAACCCTCGGTAGGAGCGCCGCTGCGCTTCCCAAGCGGCACACTACAGCAGTGCACCACACCGCGCTTCCCAAGCGGCGCACTACAGCAGTGCGCCACCAGGCCGGCCCTTCCATGAACTTTTTGAAGTGCCCTTGTATGTGCAGCTGTGATGGGGGCTGCGCTTCCCAAGCGGCACACTACAGCAGTGCACCACCAGGCCGGCCCTTCCATGAACTTTTTGAAGTGCCCTTGTATGTGCAGCTGTGATGGGGCAGGGCTCATGTGAACAGAGGTTGTGACTTCTGATTGGAATGTTCCTCTTCGTCCTCCTGTCTTAGACCATCAATGTCTGACCACCAGGCTCCCTTGAAAGGGTGATTTTTGCTGGACTGACCACCAGGAAGTAAGGACCTCACTCACCTGCCCTCCTCAGAAGCCCTACCTGGGATGCCACACCTCCTCAGGGAGGCCTCCCAGGCCAGGAGAGAGCTGGGCGAACTCCTGGGAGCTGCTGAGCTTGAGGTCAGACAGGTTCACACCCTTTTGGTGAGTGAGTCTTGGTGGAGGAAGGGAAGAGAACAGGAGGAAATCATAACTGGAATGCCAGTAGGGTGACTGAGCAAGACTGTGACAATGACTTCCTCTGGGATTTATGCTTATTAAAAAGCATCCATGCTCAGAAAAGAGAAACAGGCTATGACACTTCATGCCCAGAGCCCAGAAGATAGTCAAATTGACCTCTTGCCATTGCCTGAACACATTGAGGGTGACGGGCAGATAGAGGTCTCTGACTCCCCTTCTCCCTTCTGCCATCATTCTACCCTCCCAGGCCCCAGGTGACTCCCATTACCTGAGATGCCCGAGGCTGCGGCAGATCCACACCCCCAGGGCAGGGCCCCAGCCCTCATGGCAGACCAGGAGCCAGTCTGGCCGGGTCCTCACCTGCACTTCCAGCAAGAAGTCCTCGCCGTTTACTCTGAAAGATACTGAAACCCACAGCAGGAAAACCACATCCACCTGCTGTGGGGGTCGGACAAGGATGGTGGCAGGGTAGGACAGGATGAGCTGGACCTGGGACTCTGTGGGACCTGAAGAGGCCTTAATGACAGTGTCTGGGTCACCCAATGCCAAGTTCCTTGTTCCCCAGAGTATCAAGCCTGTCCTAAGAACAATATAACCCCACTTTGTGGAGCATTTCACAAAGTTCTGTGTTTTAACCAAGAGCACTTAAGCGTGCTCTGTCACTCGTGGTAACAGCAGCCTGTGTGGTGGGTATTACCATCCTCTCCATCCTGCAGAGGGAAACTAAGGCACGGAGGTTAAGCGATTTGCCCAAGATCACAGAATCAGCAAGTGATGGGTCAAGGGCTAAAGTCCAGGTCTCCTGATTTCAAATCTTGTCACAATAATAGTTTATTGAGTTTCTATTTTTTCCAGGCTGTTATAGACTGAACTGTGTCCTTCCAAAACTCATATATTGAAGCCCCAACCCCCAATACGATTGTATTTGAAGATAGAGCCTTTAAGAAGGTAATTAAGGTTAAACAAGGGAGGACTCCTGATCTGATAGAGTTGATATCCTTATAAGAAGAGAATAAGACACCAGAGATCCCTCTCTCTCTCCTTGAGAACAGAGGAAAGGCCCCAGGGGGACACAGCGAGAAGACAGCCATCTGCAAGGCAAGAAGACAGCCCTCACTAGAAATCAAATTTTTTTTGTCTTTTTGTCTTTTTTCGTGACCGGCAACGGATCGCAACCCTCAGTGTCGCGCCCGTACCGGACCGGGACTGGCAACGGGATCGCAACCCTTGATGTTGCTCCCGCACCTCGCTCAGCCAGTGAGCGGGAACCGGTCTGTATGTGGGATCTGAACCCTCGGCGGGAGCGCCACCGCACTTCCCAAGCGGGGCACTGTAGCAGTGCGCCACCGGGCTGGCCCAAAAGTCCATTTCTTTTTTCTTTTTTTTTTTGAGACTGGCCGCACCGCGCTCAGCCAATGAGTGCTGTGAGTGCACCGGTCATCCCTATATAGGATCCGAACCCGCGGTGGGAGCGCTGCTGCATTCCCAGCGCTGCTGCGTTCCCAGCACTGCACTCTCACGAGTGCGCCACGGGCTCGGCCCTAGAAATCAAATTTGCCAGCACCTTGATCTCGGACTTCTAGCCTTCAGAACTATGAGAAAATACATGTCTGTGGTTTAAGCCACCCAGTCTGTGGTATTTTTGTTATAGCAGCCTGAACAGACTAATACACGGGCTCTGTGCTAAGCTCTTTTTATACGAGGGTACTTCAAAAAGTTCATGGAAAGAGTCATGTTCTCTTACCATTCTATTTTTCCACGAATTTTTCAAAGTACCATTTTATATTAGCTTGTTTTATCCTTACAACTATATGCAGTTAGTATTTTTATTTCCATTTTATAGACAAGAAAATAGAAGCTCAAAGAAGTGATGTGCAAAGTCACACATTAGCAAAAGACAGACTCCAACCTCATTCTAACTTTTATAACTTATTCTAACCTCCAGCCTCTGGACAGCATTGTACCTTCTGATCCCCAATTCTTACCTGGAGAGGAGAAGACAATGAGGGGAAGGGGACAATGTGGAACAATGTTCCCAGCCCCCTAGGTGGCCCTGCTGGTCACACATGGCTCCCCACTCACAGCTGGCTCCTCCTCCCCCACATCATTGGCTCTCTCTGCCCCAAACGGCAAGTTACCATCCCTCCTGCCAGCCTGGTCTCCTGACCATGCCCCAGCCTGAGATCAGGACTGTCCCCAGGGAGTGCCAAAAGCCCCAAATCAGAGATAACTCTGTAAAGCTAGACCTTGTCACCACCCTTGCTCTAGAGGCAGGGAGAGACAGAGGGGTGGCAGCAAACTGAAGGTCCTTCATTTTGGTCTTCCTGTCCCCAGCCAGAAGGGGGGGTCCCAGAGCTGCGAAGGGGCCCTGGGCTGGGAGGGAGACTCCTAGCCTTGGGGAGGTGGCCCACCTGTTTTGGGAAGTGAGGGGAGCAGAACTTCCTCACTGCTGGCCTCTGAGCAGCTCAGCGTCATCTCCTCATCCTGCAAGGTCCCAGAAACAGGCTGAGAGGCGGCCGGCCACAGATACAGCGCTTCAGAGAAGGACAAAGAGAGGGTCACAGGGAAGCGGCTGGGGGAAGGGCAGGGACCGTCTAAGGATGGGGTCACGTCCCGGTGCAGAACAGGAACTCCTGGGCAGAGGCAAAGGCAGCTGCTGGGGCCTCCTCCCTAAGCCCCTGCCTTTAGGCAGGTCCCCAACTAAGCGGCTCAGGAGAAGCACAGTGCTCCGTCTCGCTCTCTCTCTGTCTCAGCCTCTGTCTCTCTCTCTCTGTCTGTTGCTCTCTCATTTTCTCTTTGACTCTTTCTCCCTTTTTCTTTTTCTTTTTCTGTCTTTCTTTGACCCTGTTTCTTTGTCTTTCTCACTTCCTCTTTCTCTCTCCCTCTCTCTCTCTGTCTCTGTCTCTCTCTCTTACTGGGCAAGATTTCTAGAAGAAGTTTGACTAGGGCCTCCCTGAGTCATCTATTCGAGTAGCTTACACTTCTCACAGTGGGATTTAAACATTCCTCTGTGTGTAGAGCTTAAATCCCCCCTGCTGTAATTTTACCTCTTCTCCCCTTGTCTACACAGAGTAGATGAGGATCACACCCATCCCATCTACTTTTTTTTTTTTTTTTTTTTTTTTTTTTTTTTTTTGTTTCCTTGTCTTTTTTCGTGACCGGCAACGGATCGCAACCCTCAGTGTCGTGCCCATACCGGACCGGGACCGGCAACGAGATCGCAACCCTCGGTGTTGCCCCCGCTCCTCGCTCAGCCAGTGAGCGGCCGGTCTGCATGCGGGATCCGAACCCTCGGCGGGAGCGCCGCCACACTTCTCAAGCAGCGCACTGTAGCAGTGCACCACCGGGCCGGCCCCATCCCATCTACTTTTAACACCTGCATAGCACCCGCTTCTCTTGTCCAGCTTCCCCCAGATCCTGTTCTTTGTCCGTCCCCAGACCACAGCATGGTCCCCAGCACTGACCTAGAAGCCATGAGCTGATACCCGCACTGGCCAGCAGCCCCAGGACTCCCAGCACTACACAGCCGCGCTGCATGGAGCCCTGGCGCCCAGCCCGGGAGGCTGTGGGAAGGGCAGAGGGCTGTCTGGGTTCCCCGCTCCTGCCAGCCAGCCTTACCACCACAGGGCTCAGCACCCACTGAGCTCTGACAGGAGGCCTCCCTCTACCCCATCAGCCCAGAGTGGGGGGGGGGACAGGGTCCCCATCACTGAAGCCCACAGAGCCCACTCAATCCCCAAAATGGGAAGCAGGGAGCAAAAGCATGTCTGGGGACAAAGAGTAAGATGGCCCCTCACCTCAATCATTTGGGGCTGACACAAGGAGGATCTAGGAAGTGTAGGAAGGTTACCCCTCACTGCCCCACCCTGTCACTCCCCATGGCCCAGTGCGGTGTACTGGGTTGCTGCTGGTCTCCCGGCTCTGTTGTGAACATCCTGGGTCCTGGGCCCTCCTCTGCATACTGAGCCTCCATAGGGGCTCGGTCATCCAGCATCAGGCTCTGGGAAAACAGTTGTCAGACATCCCGAATCTCCACATCAAGGACTGCTGAGAGAGGTACCAGCCCACTCCAAGTCCCCGCTCTCTAACCCCAGCTGTGCCCTTGCTGCCACTTGCAAGCCTCTACTCATCTTGGGGACTTCCTGTGTGTCCCCACAGATGCCTCTCCAGACCCTCTCTGCTCTCCTGGAGCCTCTAACTCCACCTACCTTACTCTCACATGGCCAGTAAGTGTCAGAGCAAATATGAATCCAGCTTTGGCCCACGCCAAAGCCCACACTCTTAATTACCCACCCTCTTGTCTTGCCTCCCATGAGTGCCAAGGGCATCTGCTGAAGTCCCTCAACATCCTTCCTCATGCTTCAAGATCTACCTGCCTTCATTCCCTCCCATTTCAGAGGAAGAAGTGCCCCCCTTGAACCTACCCACCCTTGCATTCATTCAGTAAATATTATTTAGCCCAAGCACACAGGCCACTATGGGGGACACTGAGGGGAGTTTAAGATAAATCAACATGGACCACCCCACCCAACTGCCTCAAAGAATTTGCAGTCTAGTCCTGCAGATAAGTCATGTAAGCAAAGCACAATTTGGAAGTGAAAGAAAAGTTCAGCTAAACTATCATCATTCAAAAGAATAAGAGCTTGCGTCTCATTGACGAGATCAAAGAGGGCTTCCTGGAAGAGGCAGCCTCTGAGACAGGCCCTCATGGGTGAATAGGGTTTGAACTGATCTACATATGGACATTGTGTTGTCCAGGCAAAGAGGACTGAATAGACAAAGGCATGGGGGTAAGGAAGCATAGAGCAGGTAAATCATATGTGAGCTAGAAGCTCATGAGCCATGAATAAGAGCAATGAAACATAAGATATTGGGGAAAACACTGGACAGTTCAAAGCTAGGTCTACAACCTACTGTGTGAAGCTGGACAACTCAGGCCATCTCTCCAAGCTTCAGTTTTCTCATTTATAAAGTAAGAGTGATAATTCCCCCTTCCCAATGAGTAATCTCCCTCCTCTAGTGTCTTGTTTCCCTCCATTATTCTGCATGCTATAGAGCCAGAATAATCTTTCTAAAATGCAAATAAGAGCATGGGAACCCCATCTTTAAAGTACCCAGTGAACCTCTGTAGCCCTCAGGATCAATCCAAAGCTCGGTGCATGGCTCACAAGGTCCTCCGTGGTCTCGCTCTTTCTCACCTTTCCATCCTCACTGCCAGCACTAACCCCCTCCACAGCGGAACTCGGGGTCATGCCTACACACCTGACACACCTGCCGTTCCTCAGCATCTTCAGACACTCTCGCACCACAGAGACTTTGCACCTTCTGCCCTCTTCCCCACACAGCCAAGTCCCACTGACCCTTCAAGACTCAGTGTAGTCTTCACTTCTCCAGGGAGTTTTCTTCAACTTATATGGCACCTGTCAGGGCCCTATACTGTGCCCATTTGCTTATCTCTCTCCTTCCTCACTGGTCTATGGAAGGAAGGAAGGAAGGAAAGAAGGAAAGAAGGAAAAATGAAAGGAAGGAAGGAAGGACAAGCTAAACAAGATAATGTGATTGAAGTGGAGTTATAAATTATAAAGCACATGAAAATATTAAGTATAGTAATGTCAACAAGAAATACATGAGCTGTGGATCCTTTCTCAAGGAATTTATAATCCAGTAGAATCAATAAGATTCTTTAAAATTGAAGTGACTCCCATCTCCCTTGCAGACTACCTTTTCCTGTCAACGTGGAGTTATAAATTATAAAGCACATGAAAATATTAAGTATAGTAATGTTAACAAGAAATACATGAGCTGTGGATCCTTTCTCAAGGAATTTATAATCCAGTAGAATCGATAAGATTCTTTAAAATTGAAGTGACTCCCATCTCCCTTGCAGACTACCTTTTCCTGTCAACATATAGAATTATGCCCAATGATCATAAAAGCCTAAAACAATGACCCCAGAACAATGTTGGCTTAGGTATGATTTTCATGTGTTGCATGGAATGTCTTTTTCACACCAAAACCTTCTGCAAGTCCTGCCTTCATGCTCCACTGAACTGGATTTCCTGACTCTCTGGCTGGGGGAAGGGAAGGCTTTGTCAGACTCACCCAGGTCTGTCACCTCAAAATCGCCCTGAAAGTCATTCCACTGGACCCATGAACACCCATGACAGTTCTGCTCACAAATGCAACAGCAGCCCACACCTTCCTGTGGAGTGAGGTACTGGCCCCACCTCCCCATCCTCTACACCGGTCCCAGTTGGGATCTGCAAGACCGGACCCGACCCCAGCAACAGGCCTTGCTTCTCCAGGAGAATCTTGGGTCATGGTTTGCTTCCTGCCACACACTTACAGGTGCCTACACATGAGACTCACAGGGCAGGGCAATGAGGCTGGAGGACAGCAGCCACGCCCCTGTAGAAAAGAGACAAGGGGCGTTGGGGTGTGAGGTCTGGGTTTCTTCTCTGGAGACATGGTTTCTCTTGAGCTGGCGTCCCTCTGAGCAGAGAGGCAGGGCCTGGTCTAGAAAGAATTCTAGAGCATGCCCAGCCCTTCCTCCTGTCTCAGTATCAAAAGATCTTGGCCTTAAGCTCGGGATCTGCATAAACTATCCTCACCTTGGGTGTGGCCCCACCTCAAAGTGCAGCTGTCCAAGCTCATGTGGTGTCATGAAAAAATGGCCTTTAGTGGTACAGAAACTCTTGATCCTCTTTTTGAGTGAGAGTTCAATGTAATAATGATTCGCTAAGCACTGCCTGTATGCAAAGCACTTGGTTGGGCCTGTGGGGACAAGAAAGGAGAATAAAAGGCAGGCCCTGGGGAGAAAACAGGGGGTTGACCACACAGGACCCCTGCTAGGATTCAGCTCCAGTGCCAGAGCTGCCTGGGGAGACTCTTTCCACCAGCCTAGAATCCTAAGGGCAGAGGAGAGAGAGAGGCTAGAGCAGGGATAGCACCACCGAGGCAGAGCCTTGCCATATGGGTCAGTGGCACTGATGTAAACCTTCAGGGTCTGCTAGGCAGCGTTCTGCTCCTGTCCAAGGGTCAGTGTTGATTAAAAAAGCCCAGCCAGCTTGGTTGGAGGATGTGGTCCCCCTAGTTCACACACGGCCCCTCCCTTCATCCCCCCTCCACACATACACAGACACATGCCATAGAGACAATGAACTCTGCTCAGGACCCATGAATAGGCCCCTTGTTGCAGGAAGGGGGCCAAGGGCTGGGCTGGGCAACCCCAGCCCCTCTCATCTGCTAACTGGAAGCTCAGAGAAAAAGGTTACAGGGAGGAGGGGAGGTTAGCTACTGTTGCTTAGCAACTAGGTCTCTTGTGCCAAAAAGTGTGCCCCATGCATGCTAGCACAACTCCCCCCTCCTGCTGACAGGGCTGTAATAGAGAGACTGATATTAGCATTTGTTGAAATGTTTCTGAGCCCTATGGATTACATCTCACCTCTGTGTGGGCTGGCTTTCCCAACAGTTTGGGGCTGTCACATACTGTAGTTGTTGGAGTGATGATGAGAGATCTTTGTCACCTCTCCCCCAGGGCTGTACCTGTCACCCAAAGCCAGGGAACTGGGGCCTCTCTGTCCCATCTGCCCTGAGAGCCAGTTGCTGCAGGAGCCTTTAGTGCTATCTTGTTTCAAAGCACAAGGTGACCCAGCTGAGCCCAGGCTGGGCAGAGCACACCTCAGAGCCACATCTCTTTGGAGAAAAAGGCAGAACAAGTCCCAGGGAAGGGAAGGGCTGGTGTGCCTTCCCCTCCCCAATCTGCCTCTCACAGATCCCTCAGATGGGACAGTCAAGGATAAGGGCTTTAGAGTCAGGCCTTCATGCAACCCCAGTTCTCCCACTTTCCTTCTTCAGCCATGACTGTGAGATGAGGATAATAGCACCTACCTATTGATGTTAGAATTAGATGAGATATTGAATAGAAAGCATTTAGCCTGGTGTCTAACTCAGACGGTAGTCAGTAAATAGGAGATGCACCACTGTTATTATTACCGTTGAACCTCACCCACAAAGGCTTTATTTTAACTTTTTTTTTTTTGTTAAATTTTTATTTTGTCAATATACACTGTATATGATTATTATGGCCCATCACCGACACCTCCCTCCCTCCTCCCTCTCTCCCCTCCCCCCCAAGAATGTCCTTTCCGTTTGCTTGTTGTAACAACTTCATGAAAGTATAGTTGTTATATCTTCCTCCCCACCCCACCCCCGGTTTTTTTTTGTGTGTGTGTGTGTGTATGTGGGTGAATTAATTTGTTTGTTTTTTTCTTTTTAGCTCCCACCAATGAGTGAGAACATGTGGAATTTCTTTTTCTCTGCCTGACTCGTTTCACTCAATATTATTCTCTCAAGGTCCATCCATGTTGTTGCAAATGGCAGTATTTCATTCGTTTTTATAGCTGAGTAGTATTCCATTGTGTAGATATACCACATTTTCCATATCCACTCATCCGATGATGGACATTTGGGCTGATTCCAACTCTTCGCTATTGTAAAGAGTGCTGCGATGAACATTGGGGAACAGGTATACCTTCGACTTGATGATTTCCATTCCTTTGGATATATTCCCAGCAGTGAAATAGCTGGGTCATATGGTAGATCAATCTGCAACTGTTTGAGGAACCTCCAAACCATTTTCCATAGGGGTTGCACCATTATGCATTCCCACCAACAATGTAAGAGAGTTCCTTTTTCTCCGCAACCACGCCAGCATTTATCGTTCAGCGTCTTTTGGATTTTAGACATCCTAACTGGGGTGAGATGGTATCTCAGTGTGGTTTTGATTTGCATTTCCCGGATGCTGAGTGATGTTGAGCATTTTTTCATATGACTGTTGGCCATTTGCATATCTTCTTTAGAGAAATGCCTACTTAGCTCTTTTGCCCATTTTTTAATTGGGTTGCTTGTTTTTTCCTTGTAAAGTTGTTTGAGTTCCTTATATATTCTGGATATTAGTCCTTTGTCAGATATGTATTTTGCAAATATTTTCTCCCACTCTGTTGGCTGTCTTTTAGCTCTGTTAATTGTTTCTTTTGCTGTGCAGAAACTTTTCAGTTTGATATAGTCCCATTTGTTTATTTTTCCTTTGGTTGCCCATGCTTTTGGGGTCATATTCATGAAGTCTGTGCCCAGCCCTATTTGCTGAAGGGTTTCTCCTATATTTTCTTTAATAAGTTTTATTGTTTCAGGGTGTATATTTAAATCCTTAATCCATTTTGAGTTGATTTTAGTAAATGGTGAGAGATGTGGGTCTAGTTTCAATCTCCTGCAAATGGATAACCAGTTATCCCAGCACCCTTTGCTGAAGAGGGAGTCAAGTTATGCCAGCACCCTTTGCTGAAGAGGGAGTCCCGACCCCAGTGAATAGGCTTAATTCCTTTGTCGAAGATCAAATGGCAGTAAGTGCATGGGTTGATTTCAGGGTGCTCTATTCTATCCCATTGATCAGAGTCTCTGTTATTATACCAGTACCATGCTGTGTGGGTTATTATAGCTTTGTAGTATAGTTTAAAGTCAGGTAGAGTAATACCTCCAGCTTTAT